GATTAATTTATTTCTGTATTTCTACATGTATTCTGGATAGAGCACAGTAAGACAACAGTATAATGTTTGACGTCTGTGTCGCTCTGCTTGTGTCTCAGGTGGACTTTGAGCTGGAGTCGCTGATGGAGAGGAAGGAGGAGGAGCGGGAGGAGCTGATGGACTGGTGGAAGATGATGTCAGAGACACTGAACTTCTGAGGCGCTCGTCTGGTTCGTGATCGGACCGTTCACACATCGATGTAATATATTCAACATTCTGTGTGCCCGTCCACGATGAGAAAAAAAAGGAAAAGAATGAATATATTGTCTCTTCTTTGTTTTGTTCTCTTTCAATCATCACTTTAATTGATTATGTTGTTTATTAATGTATTAACGGATTGCCTCATACTCCTGTAGATTGTTCAGATATCCTGCACATACACACACACTGACAGTCAGGAGGAGAATTGGCAGGTAGTGTGACAGCAGTGAGATTGGTGTTGATATCTGTGGTGTTTCGTTCTTTATCGTACACGTGATTGAAAACCATAGCACCCATCTATATAACCAACGAGTGACTGAGTAACAATGTGTGTAAAAGAGCTGTTTACATCTTTACCACGTGACTCTTTTCATGAGAAATAATCACATCCCCTGTTTTAAATGTCTCTGTTTCTCCAGACTTTAGTGAAAAAACACACAAACACAGTGCACGCTTCCACTTCACGGTAACACAGACCACACGCTGACAAATCTTTTCTTTCTGTGTAATATATAAAAAAGTACAACTATGGTTTTGAGATAATCAGGGACATTAAAAACACTGTAAAACCAGTTAACATTAAACTATAAACTACACAGGCAAACTCATCCTCCTGTATGTTATTGATGTTGAGATTTTTTTAACTGAATACAGCACAGCATTGATTTTAGCACAAGGTGAATGGTTATAATAAACATATAGAATCTGTATTATGAAGTAGGTAAGTAGCAAGAACAGTCTGGTTTTTGTACCAAATCAAAGAAAATAAGGCCGTGAAACAAATGAATCTGTCCACCTCAGTTTCCCAGAAGCCATTCCTTTGTATGTGCACTACACAGGGGAATAATAAGGAAGTGTGGCAGAAGTTGTTTTTCAAGGATAATTTGACACTGTAATCTTCTGAGTGGACACAGTGTGGACACAGTTCACCCAGTCTGAGACCATAAGAAGAGTTCACTGAATGTATAGCTACAGTAACTGATGAACTGTAAAGAATGAAAGGATCAATAAAACGCCCCCTCTTCATGTTGTCAGACTGTGTCATCGCCTTTTCTTACAGGAGCTGCATCCCCAGCAGAAACAATGAAGATGCTTTCAAATGTCATACCATGGATAGTATTTATCAATTATCTGCATATGGAATAAACCACAATCAAATCCGTATTTGATGTTTGTTTGTTTTTTTCCTTGATTATAGCAACAATTCACATGGATGCAGTTTTTCAAAAACACTTTTTTTATTTATGCACACATCTTTTTTACAAAGTCCCTGATGATGAAGAGGATGGAGGATGGTGAGGGGGAGCACCTCTCTCTTCTCTCCCTCTTCTTCCTCTGCCCTGAGGGGAGTAATCTCTGGGTAATGGAGACATTCTGTCCCTCCCCCTGTCTCTGCTGCCACGACCTCTGTGATGTAGTGAGGGATGTTGGTTGTCATAATCTTTGTAATACTTGTTGTAACAGTCTGTGTACTCCTTTTCCCATTGTTGATACCTTTCTCTCCCCCAGCGATCATGTCCTCCAGGACTTGGACTTGTGTCCCTTTAGTTCATACGGCGGCAGCTCCCGAGGAGGTGGCCTCCTTCCACCAGGGCTGCGGCTTTGGAAGCCCCCAGGGGAACGAGACCGGTACCTGAAGGGTCCTTGTCCTTCTGCTCCCTCCCAGGGTCCTGCCCAGAGGGGAGGAGGACACTGCACAGAGCCAGAGTGGCGATACCCATGAAACCGGGTAGGGGACCTTGACCGTGAACGTCTGTAACTGCGTCCATTGTGTCTGGAATAAGGGGAGCGTGGAAAAGACCGGCCATGAGAGCGTGAACGGGAGCGGGATCGACTTGGGGAATAAGAGTTAGACCTGGATCTAGATCTTAATCTAGAGAGAGTGTAAGGAGAGCGGCTGAATGGAGAACGACTGTTTGACCGGGACCTGGGAGAGGAAAGAATGGAGAAGATGATCAGGAAACCAAAAAAGAAAGAAGCAGATTATGTAATAAATTGACTGAATGGCTTGAAGAATTATGCAAATGTAATTAATGTAAGAACTAAAACCAATTTGGAAATGTCCTCTTAATTAAGTTACCTGGAATAAGATGCTCCAAAGGAGGGTCCAAGGTGG